TACCTTACTTGATTTTAACCTTTTCCTGATCTGACCCACTTCTCAAGAATCTCTCTTTTTTTTCTTCCCTTTCTCTTTCCTCTGATTCATTGGTGTTTTAAACCTTTCATCGATTTCAATTTTCAATTGTTGTGGGTTCGAGGAACACAAGACCCCCCTAGTGAGAGAAAGTGTTGGTCTAGGGTTAGATCTTTCTGGTGACAACGCAACGGACCGTTTTGTTCATTCCCCTAGGTGTTTGCTCGATTTTGTGCGCAGCATTTCTGGGTTTTTGCTCCCTTGTCTTACATTTTACCGTTAACATTTCAAAATCTTCGAATTTGGTTGATTCCTCAACAAGGGTTTCTGGAATTTACCTAATTGGAATCAGCCCGTAAGTGAAAGTTGAGATCTTTGGGGCATCCGAAGCAAACCCGATAGGTAAAATTGGTTTTACGCCTGATTTGAGTTGTCTTCTTGTCTTCATTGCTCCGTTCTGTGTTATCCTGTGGTGTCCACTTCTGTTAAAAGCTGTCTTAATCTACATTTACTTCAGCTAAAAGTTGGATGAATTATTGAGGTTTATGCAATTTTTGGTCTTGTTTGTCTGTTTGGTCGAAATTTTAACAATGTTTACCATTTTATCTACAGGCGTTGTCATCTACAGTTCTTGAATCAAGATCCCCTTTTGCAAGTTTCCATCCCAGGAAAGTAATTCAGTGATTGTAATCTGTAGATGTATGGAGGTTGTTGAGAGGAAACGATCCAGAGGAGGGTTTTTAAATCTTTTTGATTGGTCTGGAAAATCCCGGAAGAAGCTCTTCTCCTCCACCAGTTCGGAAATCTCAGGTGTGTGTCTGCACTCTGCAGTATGTTGCCCTTTGTGTTGCTCACATATAATTAGAACTGTTTGGTTCACTTCTTGTGAAACTCTGGCATGTACAAATATACTTCTTGTTTGAAGGATTTGATTATGGTTAAAGACAATGCTCTTCTTGTTTCAAGATTTCTGTTTATAACATGTTTTGGTTCTTTGATTCGTACTGCTGTGTAGATAGTTAAGAATTCTGTTCTTATCTTGTTTGGTTATTCAATCAGTAGGCTCAAGTTTGATCTTCTTCTTTGTTTTTGTGTCGGTAGAATCAAAGCAGACGAAACAGAATGCTCAAAACCTCTCAAAGACACGGGTTTCTCTTGTGAGTTTTCTCAACACTATTCCCTTGATTATGTCACATGGCTTTCATCTTCTTCATTTTTGTTTCGTGTTAGTTTAGTGGATCACAGGAAGCAATTTTGTTTAATGTGATCTTTTCTAACAGATTGAAGTTGATGAGATTGGCAAAAATCTGAGTTACAATCCAAGAAGTGACTCAAGCTGCTGTGCATCTTCTGTTATCAGTGATGATGGGCAGGGAACAAGAGCCCCGAGTGTGGTTGCGAGGCTCATGGGTTTAGAGTCTTTACCGGTACCAAATGTCCAGGAACCTCGGTTTAATCCCGATCTTGATCCATTCTTCCTCGGACCTTCACGGAACACAAACAAATGGGATGCATATGAAAATCTTGGTTATGTAAATATCCGTAGTGACTATGATGGAATTTCCTGGGACCATTTGGATTCAAGAACGAATAATGGGCGCAACCGACCAATTGAGCGGTTTCAGTCTGAAACTTTTCCTCCAAGGTCGGCTAAACCAATTTGTGTTACCAACAATAGACTCTTGTCTCCTATCCGGAGTCCTGGGTTTGTCCCATCCAGGAACCCTATTTATGTAATGGAAGCGGCTTCAAGAATGATTGAACCAAGTCCTAGGATAGTTGCTAGAACACGGTTTTCGCCATCTGATTCTACTTCATCAGTTCCCATGAGGATTCGAGATTTAAGAGAGAAACTAGAAGCCGCACAGAAAGTGTCAAGCCGTCAAATCTCCAATGAGAAGAGAACCTCAACATCACTCACCACTCCGTCAACTAGTAAGTTGATGGGAAAAAGCAGTTCTGATGGTTTGAAGGGTAAAGTGAAGCCTCCTTATGTATCTGCACAAGCAAAGACTAGCACAATGCCCGTAAGTGTCAT